CCACCACAATATAAGATGTTTGCATTTGAACTAATAAAAAATAATGTCTTCCAATATCAAAGGAATCATGTACTCTCGGGAGATACACTCTTTTCCTCTTATGGCTTTTCGTCACGCTTAGCATCATCATAGCCCTTTTGAGAAACACCAAATTAACTGACTTGCCTAGTTTATGTCATGGGATTATTTTAAATTTTGCTTTTAAATATTTGGAAAGAATTATCATCATCATATTTGGTGCTTAATGAATAGTTCTATACATTTTGATCCTTCTAATAAATAGGTATGCCACTGGAACAGGGTTGCCATAGAGTTCAGTGCTATATACCCGCTGTCCAAGTGGGTTGGGGCCAAGGAAGACAATGGGCTTCATTCCCACCACCTCATACATTTCCTGGGCCTAACTTTGGCTGCAAGAACAGCTTTTCATAGGTCTTCCTGCCTCCTCTCTTGCCCCCTTCCAAACCATCTTCTGCACCAGCCCTCAGAATGACTTTCCTAAAATACAAGTCCAAGTGGTATCACTTACTTGATAAGTACTTTTGGTAGCAACTCAATGACCATAGGTTAGATTCTAAACTCCTTAACCTCTAGGTCCTCCCTGCCTTCTCCCCCTATATATGCCCTCTCCCCTCCTTACACTGTCCATTCAAGCTTTAGAGATCCTGTGTTACTCATCGGACCAGCTTCAGATGGCTGTTTCTTTGCTAGCTATTCTCTTCTGCCTAGGATGTCCTTCTCTCCTTCCTCCTCTACCTACTGTCTACTCATCCCTCAAGGCTCAAAGCAACACTTCCCTTGCACTCTCAGTTAACTCTCCTTCTAATAGTGTTTCACTCCTTCCTGGACACATTTATCATAACACCTAGAACATCTTCTTGCACTTATTTTTATACACTAAAGAAATCAGTGGTTTTCAAACTTGAAAGCACATAGTGTCTATAAGAACCCTCCAAGGAGTGTCTTTAAAAGGCAGAAATTTCTTGGCCTTACCCCTAGAGATTCTGTTTCTGATTCTGATTCAGTAGATCTAACATCAGAGGGGTTCATGGACATCTCTGAGCCTAAGGAGAGCCTACTCTAAATCAGGTAAGTCTTCACCTGTTTGTAGCACCATTTTTCCAAGGGCAGAAGACAGTGCTGGTGTCTTCCATCTGCTACTCCCTGATCACTGACTCACAAGAGTATCAGCTTGAGAAATCCCAACACTCCCTTCCTCCCCTCCCACTCTCTTGGGGGTAAAATATGCAAAACTCATTTATATTCCCACAAGTAGGTGAGAATCACATTCTGGGCCATCACCATTCAATAATGGGAGCTTTGTGCAAAGTAGTGACAGGTGAAAGGAATGATTTCATTTTTCACTTTGACAATTGGGTGAAGCAGATTCCTGGCAGTTCTGCAAAGGTTTTATGCCCACATAGTTACCCAAGGGATCTGCTTAGCAACCAAGAGATGCTTCAAGGGGAAGAAAAGCAGATTCTTCTCTCGGTAGCATCTTGTAACTGAGATGCTGCCACAAAAGAGGGGAAAAGAGGACAGCTCTGACCTAGGGTTCTCGCTTGTTCTATGGTCTCCAGAAAGGCCTATCCTGAGTGCCCTGGTCCCTCTCCCCTCCCCAGAGCCCACGCAGAGCTCACTGTGAGGGGAGCAACATTCCCCAGGGGGTTTGGCTCTGCTTGGCTAGATTTCTTCTTTGTGCAACTATTTTTTCTGCCTATAAAATTCAACCTATTTGTTGGAGGTTTGTTTTTGAGAAGATCCAATTTAGTACCCCTCTTCCATGCCTGGGTTTTGAACTGAGAAATAAAGCAAAAAAAAAGTAAGCATTTGGCAAATCAAATGGGACCAGTTTATGGATAGAGTTGATATTGCAGGATGGATGGGGTTTGTATCTGCACACAAATGGGTTTCCTAATGCTGAATCCTAGAACCGAATTGAACCCCACAAATGACAGCCCTCCCATCTCCTGCCCAGGAGCTGTGCTCTGGACTGGAAGGTGGGCTCCCTGGAGGAAGACGAATGGCAGGGCCTGGTAAGTCCAGTCTCTTCTCAACCCACCAATCTGATGACTCCTAGAAACCACAGTGGTACTCACCTTCACGTGGCAGGAAACATCAGACACAGGTCCAGGTGTTCCCCCAACGCAATTATGGTTACTGTTAAAGACTGGGAAAATACAGGAAAACACCTAAAGAATGAAATGCAAATTGTCAGTGATCCCAGAAATACGCTATATATATATTTTTTTTATTCTAAGGCACATATTTCTCACCTTCTAATGTTTCTTAAACTGGGATGTATCTTACAATTGATATGTCTTTAATGTGGTATTATTATTTTTTTCTGAAAGATTTTTGTTAAACCTCTGGTGCCTCTTTCAGTTATCAGTATCTTAGAAATGAGGAAATGTGGTAATTTTCAATTGTTTCAGAAAATAGGGATTATTCTAGAGCATTTTTCCATATCAATAGATAGTGAAAACCTGATGTACAATGACTGCAAAGTATTCCATCATCTGAGTGAATGAGACTGCATTTAACTCATCTCTAGCCCTTGGCATTTAAGTTCTGTTTTTCTGTTTGTTTTGGTTTTTGGCATTATAGATAATGTGGTGATAAACTTCCTTGTACCTAAGTCTTTGCTCCAAATATGATTTTTCCCCCTTAAGAATTGGACCTTGTAAGAAGTGTTGGTTTCATGTGACCATATTGTTCCTCAGAAAAGTAATCCAGTGGAGGATCCCACTAATAGCATCTGAGGGTGCCCATCTTGGTACAGGCCTAGCACTGAATTATAAGGTAGGGTACCTTCTGAATTTGAGGATTGTCTGTCCTTAATGTCTCTCCTGCCACTCTTTGTCAACCCTCTCACCCTCCCTTCCAGTCCAGTCCATTCTGCTGGGAGAGCAAGAATAAGCACAGAGGACAAAGCTCAACATTGCCACAAACCTTTGCTGCCAAACCCAACATAGTATCCTGATTGGTTAGGCTCCCTGATGGAGGACAGAATCACCCCTAAATGGCCTAGAGCCACAGCAGGCAAGGGAACGTCCACAGCTCCTTTCCCCTCTGTCCATGCTCAGCTCCCAGTGGCAAGATGGCACAATGGCAGAGCAGTGCCCAGGAAGCTGGTTGGCTGAGCCTTTGTCCTGATGCCTAGAGCATGCTGGTTGAGGTTCCTCCCTGCACCTCCTTCTCTTCTCTCTCTACCCCAGTGCTCAGGATTGAAGGAACCTTGAGCTTCCTCTGGAGGCCAGGAAGCGTCACTGATGGGGAGGCCATGCTTCACCTTGGTCTCCATGTAGCCATCCCAGAGGCAGCAAGGCAAGGCTTTGGCTTGGGTTCGATGCCATGCAACACATTTTAATCAGCATCTGCCGCGTGAAAGGCAGTATTAAGTGCTGTAGGAAAGACAAGGTTTTATTTCTGTCGAGAGCTTTTTATGGCACCAGTTCCATGGATCTCCACCCCACTCCAATCCATCTGCTTGCTCCTTGGGTATAGGCAGGAGACTTTTCCGGAAAGGAACAGCATGTGCTCATTCCTCAGAACCACAGACAGAAGCAGATTGGACTGTGGCAAATGCGAACCTGGCATGTTTACTGGAAAAAAGTTCTTGGTTCCCCCAAAAATAATCAACCAAAACAAAGTCGATTCTCTGGACATTCCTCAGCGAGATGATGTCTATGCAGGTTAAGTAGAGAATTCTAGGGCCTAAATATGCCCCAGTCACACTGTATTCTTTGCTGTTACTCCACTGAGGTACAGATTCTCTTATTTGATACTCAAAATTAATGGGGGGCTTTGGGTGAAGCTTTTAGGGTAGAATTTGGTTGGGCTTTTCCTGGTAAGATGACTCATCAGATCTGGTACACCAAGCGCCTCCAAGCTACAACAGTTTATGTTCAAATGGTTTCTAGAATTAAGGGGGCTTCTAGGATTTCTGAGCCAGGTAAGCTGCATTAGGGTAGAGCTCACTAGTAACAGAGCCAAAGGAAACTTCTCAAGGGGCACTACCAGGGACGGTGGGTGTGGACAGACAGAAGGGCAATTTGAACAGCCAGTCTCTCATTCAGGAAAGGTGTAAGAAGATAAAAACAGGTGGGAGTGCAGAGTGCTGGATTATGTAATAGTGGGACACACCAATCTTGGGGAAGATAGTGCCCATCGGCATTCCTCCAAAGGGACTTGAAGGAGATTTGGAGGTAAGGTGGGTAGTGTTGGCATCTCATCAGGCCAGTAGGGCTCTGAGGTTTGATCCAGGAGTCCTGGGCACTCTGATCTCAGAATGGCATCCTGTTCCCTGGCAGAGCAGAGAAGAATGGGGAAGCTTGGAGAAGCTTCGATGCACAGATCTCAGCCAGGTCCCAAGAGCATGGGAGGGCAAAAATGGACCCCCACAGGGTCATTTTTCCTGAGGCTCCATCTGTGCAATGAGATTTACTGCCTGGGGACAGGATGGGGATTAACTTTTGGATCTGTCCAGCCCATTGAGGAGAGGGTCTTTGTCAAACAACCCTTTACTGGGTTGTGTCTCACCAAGAGAATAGGGAGGAGCCCGTAGGGTCAGCAGGAGGGAAGGGGACCTCCAACCTGTCTGTGGGCGGGGGGCAGAATCTCTCCACTATGAACACTCCTGGGGCTACAGCTTCTGCTGACCATTTGAAAAACAAATCATGGAAGATAAAAAATGCATAAGAAGAACAGAAAGGTAATAAAAAAGATTTAATTTCAATAAAAAAAGAAGATGAGTAGATTAAGATGGGCTTAAAAACCAGACATCTTAAACACAAAAAGGCATTTCAAAATAAGTTTTAAAATAAGCAACTTTGACATTTCAATAAAAATAAAGGAGGAAAAAAATAACTAAAGTAAATTAGGTTTAAAAATAAAATTTGAAATAAAATTTAAGAAATTTTGTATCTGGGAAGTTGGGAGAAAAATTACAATTCCAGTAAAAGAATATTAAGTTTTTGTGTTTTTTTTTTTTTTTAAAGAGAAGCTACAGCTAGATGAGATTTAAAATCAGAGAAATGGCTGAACTCCAGGAAGAGATTAAAAACATAAAAGACGAAGCTATACATGATCAAAATAAAACCCCAAAGCCATGAGGTGAGAAGCTAAAAACCTGTTAGTAAATGAAGCTAACAGTGACATAGGATTTGTAAACACTATCAAATAAAAGGGGAAAATGTGTAGGATAAAGTGAAAATGGAGAGTTTTTATGTCTGGAGTCAGGTATAAGTCAAAGGAGATGGGGAGGAAACAGAGCAGGCAATAAGTTCCTGTGGACACGGGTTCTGGGGGCTGCTCCAGCTTCTCCCGGGCAGTGGCCTCTACCTCAAGGGGTGACATTTATTTTTGGGGGGGTGAAGAGCCACGTGGCAGAAAGTCAAGAGCTCCTCTTACCCCTTGTCCTAGACATCGCCCCTATAGACTCCTGGCTTGGTCTGACCCTCGTGGTATTTATTCTTGCTCCTTAGTTCACTGTACCTATATGAGAGGCCCCGAGGAAAGGAATTTTCCAGAGCCACTGCAGCCCTGAGGCAGAAGAAACAGCCCTAGATCCTGCTGTGCCACCCCCCACCCATTTTCACAGGAAAAGGAGAGGACATAAAAAGAGGTAAAGAGAAAAATCAAATATAGATTGAGGGTAAAATGTCTAGAACTGTAAATTGTTCACTAATACCTCCTTTTGATGTCTCCTGCATCAGAACATAAATACCAGTAGCAGGAAGTTTATCTTCTGCAGAGTTGCTAAAACTACCCCATATGTAATTATATATTCGTACTGTATTGGCTCAAAATTGTGCGGAATAAAGTGTAACCTAAAGAGAAGCCAAAAATAGTTACTTGGTTTCCTTTGCCAAATTTCCTTGAAAAATGTAACTGCGTGAGAGTTTAAAATTAGGTGATCAGCTAACAAGTATTTGTTGAGTCTCCTGTGTTTGGGGAGCTGTTAGCCCCCCTGGAAGGAAAGAGGACAGCCTTCCTGGTCTCGCTGTCCACCGGAAGGGCCCAGGGCCCAGTCCAGGCTCGTTCTCATTGCTGTGACCTACTTTTCATCAGTGTGATAGCCAAAAAAAAAAAAAAAAAAAATCTATTTGGGGCATGCTTGCTCTTCCAGGGTCTTTCTTGGTCCACTACTAAGACATCCAGGTGTTTTCTTCTCTTCAAAAAATCTGTTGTTCCTGTGAGTAGGCATTTTACAAAGCGCTGTGCTCTTTTGCTTCCTTAACTGACCTTCTGCCTCACGTGTTGCTGTAGACCTGACTACACTGCCCCGGCAGCAGCAGGTAGAATCCTCTGGGAAGAACTTGGGTCACATTTGCAAGTTAATTTCACGTGTCCACTTATTTCTGTGTTACCTGGTTCCTCTAAGCCTCACTTGCCCCTCAGTAACAGAGACGTCGTATGAAACATAGTAACACAATACTAACAGAGAGTTAATACTAACTCTCTTCCTTCTCAATAAAAATGCCCCTCACGCAGGTCAGCTCTTAGAAGGCCCTCCCACCACTCAATCAGACAGGCTCCTGAATGCGGGGTCCCACCCTAGTCTCCAAATGCTCGAAGCACAAAAGTAACCCATGACCATTGGCAAGGCCTTTGTCCACCCCGGACCTTCATTCCTTCATCTGTAAAATGTGACCTGCCCTTTCGGTGTCAGTCATGAGTAGCAAATGGCATCATTGATGACTGAGCACTTTATAAAAGCCCTATAACAGTACTGAGCCGGAGAAAACCAGGAGTCGATTGCTTTGTTTTCTTTAAGACCAGAGGGGGAGACTTGTGGGAAAGGTTGGTTTTCTTTCCCTAATTCAATCTGGCTGGTTTTGTTTAGTCTTTTTAAATAACAGATTAACTCTATATGAATTATTTATATATTTTACTCATGTTTTGCCAAGAGGCTTTAAAATGTTACGGATGTTGGGTTTGGGAGTATGATGGTGGGTTGAACAGGTAGGCAAGCATTAGGGGCAAAAGAGAAGAAAACAAGAGTCTTCTCTCATAAAATACAGTACCTATATGGGATATACTGGATATGTGCAAGTTAATTAGCTCACTGGTTTGCAAAGCGAAGCCACAACAGGGACTAACTCTGAGACTGGCAGAGCCGAGAACCAGAACCACCACTTCTCCTATGCCTGCAGCCACGGCAGACATTTCCAATGGAACGCGGCACTTTCTCTATCATGGCAGACATTTCCAATGGAATGTGGCATCTTCTCTAGCTGAAAGCTGACCTCACATTCCTTTTCATGGAGTGCTTTAAAATTTTTTCTTTTTAATTTTTAATTTTTTATGCTAGAAATCTTCAAGAGTATAGTTAGACCAGGATAGCCCACATAATGACAACAGTAGCTTGAAGCTACAATCACTTAAAAAAAAAAAAAAGAAAGAAAGAAAGAAAAAAAGCTAAGGGGCCATATGTTGAAGGAAACTGCTTCATGAGCTATTCGGGCAGTTGTTGATGGAACGTGGGAGGACCATGGACCAAGAGGAGACCAAGAGAAGGAGGGGGTCAAAGCTTGCTGCTATAGGATCCTAGCACTGCTCACTTCCTTTGCACCCTCTCCCAACACATACACAATTAATCCCCTAAACTGGGTCATATATTGAAATATTTAACTTTAGATTTACATTAATTTAAATGAAATGTACTTAAAAATTCAGTTCCTTGGTTGCACCGGCCACATTTCAACAACTCACTAGCCATATGTGGCCAGTGGGCAGTGCAGATATAGAACGTCTCCATCATCACAGACAGATCTATAGGTAACCTAAAGCAGACCCCAGGGTGTATTCTACTCGTAACACTGCTCAGTAGCCCTGCATCCCAGAGCTCATCCTCTGCTGGTTGGAATTAGGCACACACAGTATTAACAGAAACTCAGTTCTGACCCCCTCCCTTCCCTTTACCTGTATAGAAAGAGGGACTCAGGCTGGGGGAAAGAAGGAGAGGAAATACACCATTTCAAGAATTGAAATTATTTTTCTTCCACATGAAAGTTACAAAAAGAACAGATGGCACTTTTTGAAAAATGAAAATCTGGGATCAAAGAGAAAGAAAGAGCCAAGCATGAGTCCCAGGGCTGCTGTTGATTTTTCCTGACCACCCCAGCCAACTCAACACCATCGTTGTTGTTTCTGTAAAATACACAAATGTTCTTAGTTTTAAGACTTGGGTTGCAAAGAGAATTCTTACTTTTACATTCGATTGAACAGAAGATGCTTGCTTTTACCCAAATTTCTTATGATTCTATGATTTCCCATCCTGCCTGCCTGCCGGCTGCTTTGTGTATGAGGCAGAACAGATAAGCTTTAACCTTGGAGCTGCTCCGTGAGATTTTCTGCAGATGGTTTTCAATAATAAGGTGTTTGCTCATTTGTTTCTAGGTTCTTTTATTTCAAAATAAAAGTGCAGCCAAATTGACCCATGGGGAGAGAAGAGATTAGACAGAAAATAGCATCTCCTTAGATTTCTTACTCTAATGCATTCTGATTCCACCCGTGAAATTGTCCCACCAGGACGCTGGCAGGAACAGAACAAGGAGAGACCTTAGTTCTGGACGGGCACGTGTGAGGGCCGAGGAAGTCAGCTGAGGCTGAGAGGGTAGACAAGGGCCTCAGGTTTGGAGTAAGAGGTCAGGATCCAGACTGCAGGAGGCCGAGGAGATGGAGTGGTGAGCCTCAGAACCAGGCACGGGTTGCTTCCCCACCAGCCTCAAGCCCACAGGGCTTATCTGCATGTGGGTCCTGGCCATGACTGAGGCAGAAAAGAGATAGAATCCCAGCATGCTAGAGCTGAAGGGACTTTGGGGATCCTCTTGTGGAGTCCCCCCAAAGACCCTGAAGATAAGAAGCACCTTGTGTCCTTGTTAAGCACAGAGCCCTGGACCTGAACCACACCTCCTGAATCTTGGTCACCTAGGTATCTGATGAACACCTCAGGTGACTGATCTCAGAAAGTCTGGGAAGCACTCACCTATCCAGTGGTTCTCAGGCTGGACCACGCAGAGCCTGGAGATCTCTCACCGCTTCTCTAGCGCTACAGAAGGATGCAGTGGGAATGAAGGGGAAGGACTGAGTTTGTGAAACTTGAGGCCTCCCACCCTGCTACAGTCTGATCATGGTGAATAATAGGAGCAAGTGTTTATGAAACCCTCTGTCCTAAGAGCTGTGCGTGTATTCTCTCCTTAGCCCTTAAAATCACTCTAGGAAGCAGGTGTTAGTACACCTGTTGTATGGATGAGAGAACTACGGCTGGGCCAATAAGTAGCTGTTCTAAGATCACACCACTAGTAAGTGGCAGAGCTGGAATTTGCATAATACAACTCCTTCCCATCACGTTATACTAACCTTGAAGAAGCTCCACTTGCATTGGGTTTATGTCTTATTGGGCATCTTGCAGTATTTAGATTATAAAATGGATTCCACTGCTAATAAAGGTGTGAAAACACATTGCTAGACTGATCCCTACCTTTTATACAAGAAGAAGCAAAGGCCCAGAGAGGCGACTTTGTGGTCACAAGGACACCAAATAAGGGTTCAAAGTTGGGAGTTCTGGCCTGAACAAGGCCAGTAGCTTCCCCAAGAGGCCAACTCTGAACTTGGCTCCTCACCCAGCCAGCCGTGTGCACTGGGCCAACCCGGTCTGCAGCCTTTCCTGATTTCCTAAGGCTGGCAGACACCATCTGCTGAGAAAGAGTTATGGCCCCTGCTGAGGGCTGGATTGGGTACTGAGGACATTTAGCCAAAGGGGAAAACAAAGGTCATGGTTTATGGTGAGTAAATTTCTCATCTTGTTACACGGAACCATGATCCCTTTGTTAGGCAGCCTCGAGTGTCTACGACTGCAACTGAATCTGATCCTCTTTTATTCCTGTTGTAATTAATGTCCACGTGGCGTGGGGCTTCCTGAAAGGGTGAGATATTTTCTAGAGGAGGCTATATTTCAGGTGCAGGTGACTTATTTCTTCTTCCCTGGGACTGGTTCATCAATCACTTGGAGATGTTTTGCAACCAAAGAGCAAATGCATTTCTCAGAGCAGCGGCCTCCACCCCAGTCCCCGAGCCAAAGCCAGGCAATCAGGAAAGGGCTTGGTGGGCGGCCAGCCCCTGTCTTCCAAAACCCACCATCTGGGAAGTGCATGTGTTGCCTCTGCTCCCAGTGGGGACTGGACGCTTGGCTGGGTGCCTGCAAGCCCTGCTCCCACAACACTTGGTGGTCTGTCCGCCTACGGTCTCTGTGAGGGCCGACAAGGAAGGTTTGGAAGCTGCACGCTCTTTGCTTGGGAAGTCCAGCTGAGCCTCCAGGTTGACTGATTTGATTGAGTGTCCAAGACCCAGCGTTTTCTCCAGGGCTGCTGTCAAAACTATCTTTTCATGTTGAGAAATCAATTTTCCTCACTTGGCTGAAATGGCTTTACAAAACGTACGTTTGAGAGAGGGCTGGATTCTGTAGCCTACTTCTTGAATGACATGCTTCTTGACACATGCTCTGTCTTGGAGGGGCTCGGATTAGATGGGTCTTGACTCCTTTTATGGCCTCCTTGTCCATCCTCCCCCTCCCCCCCCCCGCCAATTCTAAAGAAGCCCGTCGCACCAGGTAGCCTTTGA